AACTTTTCATTCTTTTTCACCCACATATTCTTCATCACATCAACAGTAAAAATGCATTTTTACTTCCAAAATGTGCACCAAACAGGGTTCTATCTAAAAACTCTTTTATCTAGATAGAGTATTTTTAAAAAATTATTCAAACATGTTCAAAAATAATTTCTTAATTCATCGAATTTTAGCTTAAAAAAAAATGTCAACCAGATTCTTAGAGCATTTTTAATGTTCGTGTAAAATTGGGTGTAAATTTGTATATGGAAAATCAATTTTGCATCCTCATTTACATCTCGGTGGATCTAAATTCAAACTTTGTTCCAATGAAAAGATCTAAATCCACATCTTTTTTTTTTTTACATTTTCTGCTTAAAAATATAATTTGCATTTCCTTTACATCTCTTCATTGGAGACGTCTTCGACCAAGTTAAAGATCTAAATCACAATGCAGATCTAATTTATATCACAGTTGGAGATGCTCTTAGTATTCACTTTATCTAACTTTTAATTAGAAAGCGTGCAAGGCCAGGAAGGACAAACTTTTTTAATTGCTTGCTTGAATCCTTATTGGGGTCACCGCCCAGGTGCAATGAGCTAAGAGATAGGGTTTCAACTGTTAACTCCTAATAGCTTTTATCCGGGTAGAGATTTGGACGGTCGAGCTTTTTGGATGGATTTTCGAATCTTGTGCTTTTATTATATGGTTTGTTACTCGCAACCTCCTCACCTCAACTTTATCGCCCCACTCACCACCTCCGCCGTCTACTTAATTTAGATGGTGTTATGTGATAGATTCAATAACAGGTGAAATTAAGTGATTTATTTAATTGTATTTCTTATTTAGCCACCGTTTGACACACATTCTTTCAAAATATATTATTTTAAAACTAATTTTCAACCACACATTTTTCAATAAAATAATATTTTCTATCACATCAATAATTTTTCCTTATTTTTTAACCACATATTTCTCATCATATCACTATATAAAANATATATTATTTTAAAACTAATTTTCAACCACACATTTTTCAATAATATAATATTTTTCATCACATCAATAATTTTTTCTTATTTTTTAACCACATATTTCCCATCATATCACTATTTAAAATACATTCTTTCATTAATAACATTCATCAAACACACCATTAACGTCACATTAATGCCGCATAAACTATTGTTTTAACACCTTGGTTCTAAATAGAATTACTGTTTTAACCTCATTGGTTCTAAAGGGTTTTAGGCATTTTCAAAGTAAACGAGAAGGTTTGGCCTTGTTGCTATCCTAATAAGTATATCGATTGATTGTACGTAAAATTGTTGGGAGGAGAATCAGTAGGTGCACTGAGATGTCTTGATTAAGGTAACGACGTCTCTTTAGTATCCTTATTATTTACCCATCCCAAACATTTTATCAATAATATCTTCTATATATTAAGAGTGGCTATGTAACGGAATTTCTTATTTTTAACGGAAAAACTAACGAAATTTGTTGTTTTAACGGACTATGTAACGGAATTTCTTGTTTTAAACAGGCAGCTACACCTTCGTTCAGTGTTTTTATCATAACTTTGTATTCCGATAGCTGATTGAGGCGATTCAAAATGCGTTGGAAAGCTAACCCATCTGGCTACAACTTTGATTCAGACATCATTCTTCAATTCGATCACTTTCTATGCCAAAAATATGTCTCAATATAACGGACTATGTAACGGAATTTTTTGTTTTAAACAGGCAGCTGCACCTTCTTTCAGTGTTTTTATCATAACTTTGTATTTC